CACCACGGGGAGTCTCAAGGACAACCCCAGGTACTGGGATTCACCACCAAAGGGTGTCCCAGAAGGTCCCAGACACCATTGGAAGTCTCAAGGACAATCCCAGTACTGGGATTCACCACCAAAGGGTGTCCCAGGAGGTCCCAGACACCACGGGGAGTCTCAAGGAGAATCTCAGGTACTGGGATTCACCACCAAAGGGTGTCCCAGGTGCCCTGGGAGGGTCCCAGCTGCCCTGGGAGGGTCCCAGGTGCTCACCTGCGGGCCCAGGTTGTTGCCTCCTTCTTGTCCATCAGAGCCATCTCGTAATAGGTGGTGAGGTTCTGCTCGATGAAGTGGAAGGCGCGGACGCCCACGGTCTCGGACACCAGCTCGGGCCGGAAGCCGTGCAGCCGGTTGAAGGCCATGAAGAAGGCGGTGGCCCACAGGTAGTAAGTCTCATCGTGCTGCTGAGCCTTCTCCCGCACCAGCTGGTCCTGGGGGCAACCATGGGATCTCAGCAGGGGTCCCACACCTGAGAGGGGATCCCGGCCATGGCAGCCCCTCACCTTGACCAGCAGCATCAGGCGGTTGTAGCAGTCCTCCAGGAAGTCCTGGCAGAAGCGGCGCAGGAAGAGCCGCACGTTGCGGGCGGAGCGGCGCGAGGGCTCGGCCTCGGGGGCGGCCTGCCGGCGCCGGGGCAGCCGCCGCGGCTCCTTGCCCAGGTCGTGGGTGTAGCTCTTCAGCTGCAGGACATTGAGGGGCCAGGTTTATCCCTGTGGTGCCTCCTGCCACGTCCCTGTCTCTGTGCCACCCGCTGTGTCCCTGTCCTGGAGCCCCACAGCACATTCCTGTCCCTGCAACCCCACCACATCCCTGCCTCTGTGCTCCACATCCCATCTTCCAATCCTGTGTCCCACCTGTGTTCATGTCCCCGTGCCCCCCACCCACATTCCCATCTCAATGACCTCTGCCACGTCCCTGTCCCAGTGCCACCCCCTGTGTCCCTGTCCTGGAGCCCCACAGCACATTTCTGTTCTTACAACCCCACCACATCCCTGGTTCCATGCTCCACATCCCATCTTCCAATCCTGTGTCCCACCTGTGTTCCTGTCCCCGTGCCCCCCACCCACATTCCCATCTCAATGACCTCTGCCACGTCCCTGTCCCAGTGCCACCCCCTGTGTCCCTGTCCTGGAGCCCCACAGCACATTTCTGTTCTTACAACCCCACCACATCCCTGGTTCCATGCTCCACATCCCATCTTCCAATCCTGTGTCCCACCTGTGTTCCTGTCCCCGTGCCCCCCACCCACATTTCCATCTCAATGACCTCTGCCACGTCCCTGTCCCAGTGCCCCCCACCGTGTCCATGTCACAACAGCTCCCTCTCCATCCCTGGCCCTGTGCCCCCTGCCCAGCCGATGCCCCCAGCCACATCACCATCCCTGTACCCCCTACCATGTCCTTGGTGCCCACTGCCACCTCCCTGGTTGTGTGACCCCCACCCACATCCCAGTGCCACCTGCCACATCCTTGACCCCATACCCCACACCACATCTCGCGTCCCACTCACGTTCCTCTCTCCCTACCCCTTACCATGTCCCCAGGCCCGTGCCCCCTCCATGTCCCCAACCCCATGCCCCTCACCACATTCCTGCGTCTCCCACCACATCCTTGTCCCTCCACCCTGTGCCACATCCCCAGTGCCACATTCCACACACAGCCCTGTCCCCGTGCCCCCTGCCACACCCCCTTGCCCCCCACTCACATTGTGCAGCCCCTTGTGGAACACCACGTCCCTGTCCCCGATGGACTTGACGCCCTGCAGGACGTAGGAGCCACCGAAGCGGGAATGCCTGGCAGGAAACAGGAGCTGAGTGATGCTGTCCCCACCTCGGGGGTCCCATCCCTGCCACGGGGGTGCCCCCTCCTCACCTGGACGTGCGCTGCAGCGCCCGGGCTCTCTTCTCTGCCAGCTCCCTCTGCCTCAAGGTCTCCAGCTCCCGCGTGTCCTCGCCGTGCTCGGCCCCTGCTGTCCCCTGCCCCAGCGCCGCCAGCTCCTCCGGGCTCTGCCAGCAGCTCTGTCAGCACTGGGGGGGCTCTGCCACCCTGCCCCGCCACCCCCGGCCCGGCTCACCTGGTCACGGAACATGAGGGAGATGATCTCCAGCACGTGCAGGGCCCACTGCTGCTCCACCTGGGCGCTGGCCAGGAATTTGAGCAGGTCGTCCATGCCGCTGATGTGCAGCGCCCACAGCACCCGGTCGTGCACGCTGGCGTCACCGTCCACGCCCTGCTGGGGGTGGTGGCAGCCTGTCAGGGTCCCCGTGGAGCCACTGGGGTCCCAGATGTGCCAGGGAGCCAGGGAAAGGCCCTGTCCTGGTACCTGCTCCTCCGTGGGGTCCGGGGGCACGTGCAGCACGTTGCGCACCAGCAGCAGGATCCTCTCGATCAGCAGCGTGTCCTCCTCCTGCCGCTGCTCCCAGTCCTGGGGGACAGAGCTGTCAGGGCCCCTCACAGCCCCCCGGGGGTCCCTGGCAGGGAAGGACCCCACAGTCCTGCAGGACAGACCCCACAGCCCCAGGGACCCCCAGTAGGTACAGACCCCACAGCCCCTGAGGGACCCCAGTAAGGACAGACCCCACAACCCACAGGGACCCCCAATAGGGACAGACCCCACAGCCCCCAGGGACCCCCCAGCAGGGACAGACCCTGCAGCCCCCTGGGGATCACCAGTAAGGACCGACCCCACAATCCCCAGGGACCCCCAGCAGGAACAGACCCCATATCCCCCAGGGACCCCCAGTAGGTACAGACCCCCACATTCCCCAGGGCCCCGCGGCAGGGATGGACCCTGGAGCCCCCTGGTAATTCCAAGACCCTGCAGCCCCCCCAGAAAACCCACAGCCCCCAGGGACCCCCCAGCAGGAACAAACCCCACAACCCCCAGAAATCCCCAGCAAGAACAAACCCCACAACCCCCAGGGACCCCCCAGCAGGAACAGACCCCACATTCCCCAGGGCCCCGCGGCAGGGATGGACCCTGGAGCCCCCTGGTAATTCCAAGACCCCGCAGCCCCCCCAGAAACCCCCAGCAGGAACAGACCCCACAGCTCCTGAGGGACCCCAATAGGAACAGACCCCACAGCCCCCAGGGACCCCCAGCAGGAGCAGACCCTGAAGCTCCCTGGGGACCCCCAGCAGGGACACCACCCACAGCCCACCAGGACAGGACACTCACCAGCTGCAGGAGGTTGTAGAGCTTCTCACTGAGCACCACGAACACCTTCTCACTGGCAAAAGCCTGCAGAGACCCCTCGTGAGCACGGCGACGCGGGCAAAGCCCCCTGCCCGCGGCACGTCCCCGGGCACACTCACCTCCTTGTAGGCCTGCAGGTAGGACAGCACCTGGAGGAAGTGGTGGCGGGAGGTGGCATCCGCTGGCACCTTCCCAAAGCACAGCAGGGCCGGCTGGGTCAGGTTCACCATCAACCTGCGAGGAGCAGAGGGCTGTGAGGGACCCCTGCCCAGCGAGGAGCCCCCTCAGGGCCACCCCAGGCCACCACCCCGCCCGTTGGTACCTGATGATGGCATCGAAGAGCAGCTTCTCCTGGGGGTACTGCACCAGGATGGGCAGGAGGTCGTTCTGCAGGATTTGGGCTGCCCCCAGCTGCTGTCGCACGTCCCGGGTCTCGTCCTCGTGGCGCAGGTACCGGATCAGGTCCTTGACGCTCTCTGGGGACACGGGGCCGTCAATCCCTGCCATCCCCGACCCCTGCCCCCCCAGCCCGGTGCCCACCTACCCAGGCAGTCGGGCTCCCGGTGGTACACGTCGCCCTCCAGGTAGCCCAGGGCGCTGCAGGTGGCCAGGAGCTCGCAGTTCATCATGTACCAGTCCATGCAGCGCGGGGCTGCGCACGGGACCGGCACCGGGGGCCGCCTGCGGGCCACCGTCAGCACTGGCCACCCCCGGTACACTCTGCCGGTACCGGCTGCCCCGGGATTGTGTTGTCCCGGGGTACCCTCCGGTCCCGGTTTCCCCAACACCGAGGAACCGCCCAGGCTTGGTCCCGCTCGGTACCGGACCGCACCGAACCCCGAGGCTCCGGTAGCACCGATCCCAGCGCACCTCCCGTTCCGGTCCGCCCCGATACCGGCGCATCCCACAGCCCCGCTTCCTCCGATTCCACATCACCCCCCAGTTTGGGTTCCCCTCTCCTCACCCCGGTCCCAGTCGGCTCCGGTTCCTTCTGGATCCCGGAGCATTCCCGACCCCCCCCCAATTTCCCCCGGACCCCCCTGATCCCAGAGCACTGCCCGAGCCCGCCGATCCCGGAGCACCTTCCAGAGCCCGGCGCACCCGGTTCCCCCGATCCCGTATCAACCCCCGCGTCCCGCTCCCCTCCGGTACCGAAACCCCCCCGGTTTCGGTGACCCCGGATCACCCCCAATCCCCGGTCCCGGCCTGTCCCGGGACACTCCCCCAGCCCCCGGACCCCCGATGCCGGCGTGCCCCGGTGCCGGCCCCCATCCCGCTCACCGCCGCCCCGTCCCCGCCGCGCTCCCGGCCGCGCTCCCGGTGCGGGGGCGGCCTTACACAACCGCCCCACTTCCCGCGGGCGAGGCCCCGCCCCGCCCGCACCCTTCAAGCGGCAACTCCCCCTCAGCAGCCCGGTGTCCCCCCTGGTTCCCATCCCGTCCGCACACCCCCCGCCATCCACCACCGGCACAAACCGGCGGCTCGATGCCTCGGGGCGCCCCCAATCCCCCTGCCCTCTCCCCCCGGCCCGCGGCGCTGAGGGGTGGCAGACGGGAGGGGCTCATTTCTGGGAAGGGACGCTGTGGTGGAGTTGCCCTTTTAAGGACGGCGCTGGCTGGGCGGGGCCTGCCGCGGGCGCGGGAACGGGCGGCACCTCCCGCCACCGGCCGGGCGGGCTCCGGTGTCCCCCCCCCATCCTCGCTCCCTCCCGGTTCCCGGCGGCGGGCACGGCCGCGAGCGGTTACCAAAATAAAAGAGCAGGTTTAATTCACCGAACACAGAAGTCCCGCCGCGGCGGGGCGGGGCGGCCCCGGCCCGGTATACGGGCGGCCCCCCGGGCATGCCGGTGGCCGGTTCCCCGGCAGCGGGGCCCCGCCGCCGCCCGCGGGCGGCGGCTCGGCGGCGGCGACGGCGGCGGTGACGGCCGTGGGGGCGGGCGGCTCTCCCTTGAGGGCGGCCAGGCGCTCGGCCAGGCTGCGCGGCCGCGGGCACAGCGCGAACTCGTAGAGCACCGCGCCCAGCGCCGCGCCCAGCAGCGGGCCCGCCCAGTACACCTGCGGGGGGGCGGCGTGGGCACCGGCACCGGGGCATCCCCGGCCCGCCGGGGCACCCCCGGCCACCCGGGGCACGGCACCCGCCCCGCTGATGCCCGGGCACCGGCGCAGTCCGGGCTTCCCGGTGACCGGGGGGCGGCCGCTGTCCCCAAACCCGGGATATCGTGGGGCAGGACCCGTCTCCCGTTCCCCGGGATGTCGGGACCCATCTCCCGTTCCCCGGGATGCCAGGGGCAGTACCCGTCGTGTCCCCAAACCCGGGATATCGGGGGGCTGGACCCGTCTCCCGTTCGCCGGGATGTCGGGACCCGTCTCCCGTTCCCCGGGATGCCGGGGGCAGAACCCGTCTCCCGTTCCCCGGGATGTCACGGGGCAGGACCCGTCTCCCGCTCCCCGGGATGTCGGGGGGCTGGACCCACTCCCCGGGCTGTCGGGGGTACCCAGCACCCTGGGGTGCTGCTGTCACCGTGGCGACACCAGCAGCCGCTCGCCTTCAGCGGGGACCCAGCCACTGGGTCAGGACAGGGATAAGCAGGGAGGGACTGGGGGGGCCCGGGGCGGCTTTGGGGGTCCCCGTCCCCCCCCCACTTACCCAGTGGTTGGCGAAGTTGCGGGTGATGACGGCGGGGGCGAAGGAGCGAGCGGGGTTCATGCTGGCGCCCGTGTAGTGGATCTGCGGGGGGACGGAGCAGTGGGGGGCTGCACGGCTGCCCCCCAGCCCCCGGGCTCCCAGAATCGGGGTCCCCGCGGCCGCCCTTACCCCGAAGAGGTGGCCGAGGGCGAGGGAGAAGCCGACGGGCACGGCGGCCATGGCCGGGCGCCCGTCGTGGCGGTCGTCGAAGCTGGCGAAGACGCAGAGGACGAACTGGGCGGTCAGGAGCAGCTCCACCACCGTGCCCTGGCCCGGGCCCACGCCGGGGTGCAGCTGCGGGGGGAGAGGGCTCAGCACCCCGCGGAGTTGTTCACCCGTTCCCCCTCAGCGCCCCAAATCCTCCTTCGTTATCCTTCCGCACCCCAAAATCCCACTGTACCGCAAAGCCTTCCTCATCCTCAAATTCCTCCGGGATGCCCAGCCCCCATTGCTGTCCCGCATCAATCCAGACCCCAAAACATCTTCTGGACCCCCCGATCCACCATCAGACCCCTCAAACACCTCTGAACCCCAGAACCCTCATTACAGCCCCATGGTACCCCAAAACACCCCCTGGACCCCCCCCAGTTCCCCCAAACCACCTCCTGGACCCCCCAATTCCCCCAAACCACCTCCTGGACCTCCTCCAATTCCCCCAAACCACCTCCTGGACACCCCTAATTCCCCCAAAACACCTCCTGGGCACCCCCAATTCCCCCAAAACACCTCCTGGACTCCCCCCAATTCCCCCAAACCTCTCCAAACCCCTCAGACCCATGGTACCCCAAAACACCTCCTGGACCTCCCCCAGTTCCCCCCAACCTCTGTGAACCCGTTTTCCCCCCATTTCAGCCCCATGGTACCCCCAAACACCTCCTGGACCCGCCCAAATTCTCCCAGACCACCTCCTGGACCCCCCCAATTCCCCCAAACCTCTCCAAGCCCCCATCTCCCCATTTCAGCCCCATGGTACCCCATATCCCAAAACAACCCCGGGACTCCCCCCATCCTTCCAAATCCCCATTACAACCCCAAAGTACCCCAGACCCCCAAACACCTCCTGGAGCCCCCAACCCCCCCAAACCCTCATTACAGCCCTGCAGACACCCCCAAGCCCCCGATGCTCACCGCGCTGAGGCCGAGGGTGCCACGCACGGGGCCGGGGGTCACCCCGTAGAGCACCCCGGCTCCGGCCAGCATGCCCAACACCTGGGCCAGCAGGTAGCCCAGGGCACGGGCCAGGGAGAGCTGCGAGGCCATCAGGAAGGCCAGCGTGATGGCCGGGTTGACGTGACCCCCGCTGACGTGGCCCAGAGCCTGCACCAGGGTGGTCTGGGCCAACCCGAAGGCCAAGGCGGCCCCCACAACGCTGGGGGGGCCCGGGGCCCAGCGCAGGGAAGCCCCCAGCCCCAGCAGGGCATAGAGGAGGCTGCCCAGGAACTCGGCCAGGACGGCCCTCCAGAAGGCGGACGAGCGCAGCTCCCGCATGGCCTGGCCCCGCTGCCCTCCACGGCCCCGCTCCCCTCCCCGGGGGCCGCCCGAGACCACCTTTATAAGCCCCCCCCGGGACGGCCCCGGGGGTGGGACCCCACCTCCGCCACCCCCCGTTAACCCCTTCGCTGCCCGGGCCACGGGATGGGTGACACGCGGCGAGGAACCCCCACCCCCCGAGCCCCCCCGGGCATCCCCGCACCCCCCAATAGTGAGGACCCCCCCCCGGAGCTGCGCTGCCCCCATCCATGGGGTTTTCTGGGGAGGGGGGGGCTGTGACCCACTGATGCCCCCAGTGGGGTTTAGGGGACCCCAAATCCCACCTCCCACCCATCCCCCAAACATTTTGGGGACACTTTGGGGCCGCCCCCACCCCGCGGGAGGGGCGCTGGGTGGGGGCCGCGGGGTGTCCCCCCTGCCCCCCCCCCGGTGCTGTTGTCTGCGGGAGGGTTTGGGTTTATTCAGGCCGGCTTAGCGGGCGCTGAGTCCCCGGCCGGGGGGGATTAGGGCTCGGCCCGGCCATTGGCGCCCGCCGGAATCTGCCGGGGCTGCAGAGGCCGCCACAAAGCGCTTTGCTGCGCTCAGCTCCCCGGCACGGGACGGGCTGACGGGGGGTCCCGGCCCCCGCCCTCGCCGGGGGGCCGCGGGGAGGGCGCGCCTGCCCCGGTGTCGCCGTGCCCAGACCCCCCCGGTGGTCGAGACCCCCCCAGTGCCCTCACAGCATCGCTCTGCGACCCCGACACGCCTTTAATCCCCCCCAAGGGGGAGAGGACTGTGAAAGGGGAGGGGGCACGGAGCCCCCCATGCTGTGGGTGCCCCACGGAAGGTTCTGGATGCGGCGAGGATGCGGTGTCAGGGTGTGGAGGATCTGGGGGGGGCTGAGGCAGTGCCCTGCTGAGCTGGGGGGGCCACCGAGGAGGGGGACAGGCTGGGGGTCTCCACCAGAGCCACGTCCCGGCAGGCGAGGCAGGCGCTCAGCTTCTCCCGGGAGGCTCCGGGCGCCAGGATGAACTCGTAGGAGAGCCCGGCCAGCACCGCGCCCAGCACCGGCCCCAGCCAGTACACCTGCAGGGGCACGGGGTTTTGGGGTGTCCCAGGGATGGGGGGACCCCCCCCCAGGGATGGGGACTGAGCACAGGAACCTGCCCCAGGGGTGAGGGCAGCCGTGGGGAGGGTACGGAGCCAATCCCGAGGGGATGGGGCCTGTCCCAAGGATGGCAATGGGGGGACACATCGGGTCCCGTGACGGTGACACCAGGAGGACCCTGGGGGACACAGCTGGTGTTGACCTGTCCCAGTGGGACCCACCCAAGAGAAGACCAGGAACCGCTGTCCCAGGGTGGGGATGGGACCACAGCGGTCACACGCTGCAGCCAGGGGACCCCCCCTTACTTGGGGACTCTGGGGGAGCCCAAGGGTGCCCCCAACTCACCCAGTGATCATCCCAGACGCCGGTGACGACGGCCGGCCCCAGCGAGCGCGCGGGGTTCATGCTGCCCCCCGAGAACGGCCCCTGTGGGACACGGGGGGTCAGGGCCTGGCGGGGTGGGGACCCCCAGGGCGGGTGGGACACGGGGGGGTCCTTACCGCAGCCAAGGCCCCGGCGGCCACGGCGCTGCCCAGGGCCAGCCCGGCCTGCGGGGCCGCGTGCTCCGCAGCGGCGAAGGCGGCCAGCGCCAGCTGGAAGGTGGCGAAAGTCTCCCAGGCCAGCGCTGTCCCCGCTGTCCCCTCCGCGCTCACCTGCAGCAGTGAGGGACACCTGTGCAGTGCCAGGGGATGGGGACGGGGACAGGGACGGGGGGCACTCACCCTGGTGACGAGGCCGGCGTCGTCCGGCAGCGCCGCGCGGGCGGCGGCAGAGGCCAGCGTGGCCCCCGCGCACTGGGCCACGAGCCCCGCGGCCCCGCGCAGGGCGCCCAGCTTGCGGGTGCACAGCAGGGCCAGCGTCAGCGCGGGGTTGGCCTGGGCACCCCCGAGGGTGCAGACGAGCCCCCCGGCCGCCAAGCCCCCTGCCAGGGCCGGTGCCAGCGGCTCTGGAGCTGCCGAAGCCCCCAGGACCACCCCCACGAAGATGAGGGTGGCCGCCAGCTCCGCCAGAACCCCCCGCCAGAAGCGGCCGCTGCGCAGCTCCTGGGGGGACAGCGGGGCCGGGGGTCACCCCACGGGCACTGCCAGCAGCGGGTGGCACAGAGAGGGGGTGACATGGGGCCGGGGGGCTTTGGGGATGGGGTGTCTCAGGGGTGGGGTGCCATGGCAACAGGATGCCCCCGTGGGTGGGTACCAGAGTGAGGGGGGACATTCATGAGGGGACCCCCCAGCACGTGGGTGCCACATGGGGGGTACCAGGGGGTAATGGGGTGCCATGGAAAGAGGATGCCCCGGTTTTTGGGTACCCACAGGGATGGGGTACCTCAGGGATGGGGTATCTTGGGGATGGGACCCCCCAGCACCTGGGTACCACAGTGGGGAGGTACCAGGACATTTGGGGTGCCCTGGCAAGGGGATGCCCCAGTTTTTGGGATGGGGCACCTCAGGGATGGGGTACCTGAGGGATGGGACCCCTCAGCACCCAGGGACTGCAGGAAATGGGGTGCCACGGAAAGAGGATGCCCCAGTTTTTGGGTACCCACGGGGATGGGGTACCTCAGGGATGGGACCCCCCAGCACCTGGGTACCACAGTCGGGGGGGTCCCTTGGTGATGGGTACACTGGTGATGGGGTGCCCTGGCAATGGAATGCCCCAGTTTTTGGGATGGGGCACCTCAGGGATGGGACCCCCAGTCCCTGGGCACTGTGGTGACAGGATGTGCTGGAAATGGGGCCACAGGGGGTCACAGGGTCAGCACCCGGGTACCACAGTGGGGGGGTACCAGGGGGCAATGGGGTGCCATGGAAACAGGATGCCCCAGTTTTTAGGATGGGTTACCTCAGGGATGGGACCCCCAGTCCCTGGGCACTGTGGTGACAGGATGTGCTGGAAATGGGGCCACAGGGGGTCACAGGGACAAAGAGGGGGACAGCAGCCATGACAGGGCCAGGAGCCACGGTGAGGGGCACACAGAGACCCCAGTGCCAGGGCTACGGGCTGGGCACTGAAGTGACAGGCTGGGGGAGTCCCCGTGAGTTAGGGGCTGCTCACCCACCCCCCCCTGGCAGGGAGGGGACTCTGGGCCTGTGGTTTTGGGGGGGTCGGGGCCGCTCGCAGGGTCTTACCTCCCCGATGGCCATGGTGCAGCTGTGGGAGAGCACAGCCGGGGTGGGGGCACCTCCTGCCCCTGGCACTGCCACCCCCGTCCCTGTCACCCCCAGCACTGCCACCCCCTTGGCACAGCACAGCCCTGAGGTGCTGAGGGTGGGGCAGGACTTTGGGAGGGGGCTGCGGGGGTCCTTGCAGCATCCCCGGGTGCCATAGCAACCCCCGGGGACCCTTTGGGGTGTTGCCAGGACAACCAGAGATGAAAGGCTGGGATGAAAGGTTGGGGGGGATGAGGGGGGGTTTGAACACCTGGGATGAGCACAGGGACCCTCAGGGAGGGGCTGAGGGGGCACAGGGGACAGGGTGACACACCTGGGATGGGCACAGGGACAGGGGACAGGGGGGCACAGGGGACAGGGTGACACACCTGGGATGGGCACAGGGACAGGGGGGCACAGGGGACAGGGTGACACACCTGGGATGGGCACAGGGACAGGGGACAGGGGGGCACAGGGGACAGGGTGACACACCTGGGATGGGCACGGGGCTGTGCCCTGGCAGGGGGGTGGCAATGTCACACACACACAAAGGGGGACACGTGGGGAACACCCCCAGGGAGACACTGTGGGGACAATTTGGGGACACTGCGGGGGGACGTGTGGCCAGTCCCGGGGGGGACACAGAGAGGGGACATTTGGGGGGACACCAAGTGGGACAAGGGGGGGCACAGCAGGGCTGGGACCCCCGTTCTGCCCCTGGGGTTCTGTCACCTCACAGACCCACAGGTGTCCCCAAGACGCCCAAAATTGTCTTTTAGACCCCCAATGTGCCCTATGATCCCCCCACAATGTGCCCCACAAGCCCCCCAGTGACTCCCAGGCTCTCAGGTGCCCCCAAAATGCTCCACAGAGCCCCCCAGGTGTCCTATAACCCCCCAATCCTGCCCATAGACCCCCCCAGGCACCCCCAGGTGCCCCTTTCTGCCCCACAGACTCCCCCAAAGTGCCCCCAGCACCCCCAATCCTACCAAGATACCCCAGCCTGCCCCAAAGTCCCCACTCAGGATCCCCCAATTCTGCCCTACAGACACTCGGGTACCCCCAGAGACCCCCAGAACGCTCCCATCCTACTCTAGAGAACCCCAGGCACCCCTCAATCCTGCCCTGCAGGCCCCCAGAGCCCGCTAGGAACCCCAATCTCGCCCCCCAGACCCCTCAGGTGCCCCCCAGGCCCCTCAGGTGCCCCCCAAATTCCCCCTTTCCCGACTCCAAGATGGCGGCCCCCAGCGCCCCCTCAGAAAGGGGCGGGGCCCGTCGCAGTCACGTGACGGAGGCAAGGCGCCAATATGGCGCCGCGCGGGGTGTGGTGTCCGACCACGTGACCAGCGCCTCCAAAATGGCCGCGCCCACGGTGAGGGCGGGGAGGCGGGGCCGAGGGGTAATGGCGGCGGTGGGTGTGGCTTCGCTTAAAGGGGCCGCGCCGCACCGGGGTGGGGGGGTCCGTGACGCCCCCCGGTGCGGAGGGGGCGTCGGGGATTCGTGAGAGCGACCCCCCACTCCCGGTTTGGGCAGCTGAGGCAGAGGATGGGGGCGGGATCCGCCCCGCCGTGTCCCCCGTGTGGCCCCGGTGTGGCCCCGGTGTGGTCCCGGTGTGGCCCCGGTGTGGCCCCGGTGTCCCGGGCGGTCTGGGGGGGTCTAACCGGGGGGTCTCACGGTGTGGGAAGGGGTGAGACCCCCCGG